CACTAGCACCCTCTCTACAACAGCTAACAAGTATTCAAATGCCAACATCTCCTATCCATTTGCCAACCACAGTATCATTCACACAACTGCCAACAGATATACAAGCAGCAACATTGATCACACTGATTTTAACAAAACTTCAGGCAACAAAATTGCCATTTACTCCCAACACACAATTTATAACAACCAGCTTCCAAATGTCATCAGTCACAAAAATACCAACAACATCAACTATGCAACTGCCAAAAGCAACTATATCAACAGCATTGCCAATAACAATCATTACACAAATGCCAACAAATCCAAAGATTCTTACAACCACAGTCCAAGCACCAAAAACAGCATCACCTACACAACTGAAAACAAATACACATATGCAAGCATCAAACACAAAGTTACCAATAATGACTATAACCACAACATTGCCAATAACTTCCACTACACAACTTCGAATAAGTATACCAACATCAACTACACAATTCCAAATAGCTGTAAACACAAAATCACCAATGACATCCACCATACTGCTTCCAGAAAATATTCCATTATCAACATCGAGTACACCAATATCAACAAAACTTAAAACCACAGAATTGCCAGTAACTTCCTTTATACAAACTTCCACAAGCATTTACATGTCAGCATTGACCACACAGTTACCAACAATGAAAACCATAACATTGCCACTTACTTCCACTATCCAACATCCAATAGCAAGTACTCAAATGCCAACATCATTGTCAGAACATTTGACCACAGCATCAACCACACAACTATTAACCACAACGCCAACTACAGAACTACCAACAAGTCCTCAATTCCCAACATCTATCACACCAATGACAACTTTCACTGCAAAAATGCCAATAGCTTCCTCTACACAATTTCTAACAACAAACGTTCAAATGCCAATATTAACCACAAAATCAACACCAGCAGCATTAATTGCACAAATGACAATAACACCAGAATTACCAATAACATCCACTATACAACTGCCCACAAATTCTCAAATGCCAACATCAATACAAACTGTACAAATACTGATATCAACTACAGAAATGCCAGTAACATCTACTATACAAATACCCACAAGTACTCAAATGCTGACAACCACATCATCACTATGGACAACTATAGCCTCAAGATTGCCAATAACTTCTGGTATACATCTTCAGACAAGTATTCAAATGCAAACATTAAACACAAAAATACCAACAGCATCCACAACACAATTGCAAACAAAAAGTACTCAAATGCCAATTTCAGCTACACAGTTACCAATAATTATAACCAGATTTCCAATTACAATTCCAGCAGCAAGTACTCAGATGCCAACATCAAAGTCAGAACATTTGACTACAGCATCAACCACAGAACTATTAATCACAGCATCAACTACAGAACATTCACCAAATACTCAATTACCAATGTCATCCACCACACAAATGCCAACCATAACATTAAACACAGAATTGTCGACATCATCTTCCACATTACTTCCAACATATCAAACCACAGCATCAAATTCACAAATATTAACTACAAAATCAACCAAACAAGTACCAACAAATACTCCAATGTTAACAATTGCACAAATGTCAAAAACAAAACAAGCTACTCAATTGTTGACATCAACAACACAATTACCAATAACTTATACTGAAAAACTCAAAACAATAAGCATTCAAATGCCAATATCAAACACAAAACTACTAATAAAATCATCAATCACAGAAATACCAGTAACAAGTATAACCACAAAAATGCCAATATATTCTACAATACAAATACCAACAAGTACTAAAATGCTGAAAACCACATCATACACTCAATTTTTAACAAATACCCAAATGTCAATATCAACCACACAGTTACCAACAATAGCTACAATATTGCCAGTTACTTCTATTATACAACTTCCAACAGTAAGTACGCAAATTCCAAAAACAATATCACAAATATCTATTACCCAACTTCCAACAGATGCTCAATTTCCAACATCAACTATACAGTTATTTAACGCATTTTCAACCTTACAAATATTAACTACAAAATCACCCACACAACTGCCAACAAAAACTACAAAATTGCCATTAGCATCCACTACACCATATGCAACAAGTACTCAAATGTTTACAACATCTACACAAGTATTAAAAACAGCAGCAATCACACAACTGCCAGCAACAATTACTCAAATGCCATCATTAGCCACAAAACTACCAACAACTGTAATTACAGAATTGCCAATAGGATCTACTAAATCGCTTTTGGAAAGTACTGAAATTCCAAATTCAAAAATTCAACTAGTCACTACACAGCCACAAAAAACAAGTAGACAAATCTCAACAGTAATACATATGAAATGGCTGATACCAAAAGCTCAAATGGTAATACCAACAAGATCAATACTAGTAACAACTGAATTGCCAATACCATTCACTACACAATTGCCAACAACTAACTTGCAAATAAAACTTACCACACAAATGCCATTATCAACCTCTCAACTATTAACCACTTCATCAACTTTTCAATTGCCAACAGCAATAAATGAATTGCCAATAACATCTATTACATCATATGCAACAAGTACTCAAATGTTAACAATAGTACCAACAATTGCTCAGATACCAACATCAACCACAAAACTACCAACAACTATAATTACAGAATTGCCAATAGGATCTACTATGCCATTTCTGAGAAATATTAAAATACCAAAAACAAGTAGACAAATCCCAGTGGCAGTACATACTATAAAATGGCTAATACCAAAGACTCAAATGGCAATATCAAGTACACCAATACCAGCTACAATTATAAGCACTGAATTGCCAATACTATCAACTAGACAAATATTAAAGACTTCATTAACAACACAATTGCCTGCAATGGCAACTGCATTGCCAATAACATCCACCACACAAGCAACTATGCCGTCCAGACAATTAACCTCTTCACTAACTACACAACTATTAACCAATTTATCAACCACTCAACTTCTAACAACCACATTACCAACAACATACATTATACAAACAACAATTACAGAATTGCCAATAGGATCCACTACACCACTTCTTAAAAGTACTAAAATACCAACATCAGGAATAAAACTAATAACCACACAGCAGCCAAAAACTAGTAGACAAATCCCAATGGCAATGCATACTATAAAATGGCTGATACCTAAACCTCAAATGGCAGTATTAACTACACCAATACCAGCAAAATCTATAATCACTAAATTGCCAATACTATCAACAATGATGTCAGCTGGATTGCCACTTGTATTCCCCACATTGATACCAATATCAACCACACCACTAATAACCGCTTCATCAACTACACAACTGCCAACAGCAACATCCACCACACAACTATTAACACCTTTATCAACTACCCAAATGTCAAAATTAACCACACAATTATTAACCACTTTATCTACCACAAAACAGCCAACAACATTCAGTTCATCATTCACACCACCGTCAACTTTAAGCACACAACAGTTAAGTACTTTAAAGTTAACAAGTCCAGCACAATTACAAACATCATCTACACAACTTCCAACAAGTATTCAAATAACCTCAACCCCATCAGCAAGCCTAACAACATTTATAACATCAACCACACAGATGCAACCAACAACTACACTAATGCAATCATCAACTAAACAATTTGCAACCACAGTTTTCACTACACTATTGCCTATAACTGTAACTACAAAATTGCCAATATCCACCACACAACTGAATACAGTACCTACCACTCAACTGTCAGCAACAAGAACAGAATTGCCAACAATAATCACACTAATGCAAACACCAATTACACTAACTCCAGTATTAAGCACAGAATTTCTAACCACACAGCTACCAACCATGAAATCAACTAGACAATTGCCAACAACTTCAATGACAATACAACTGAGACCATCCTTGACCAAAATTCCTACACCAAATTTTGTTACAGAAATGTCAAGTACAATATTAACAACACAGTTACCTACAATAAAAATAAATGTCGCAACAATACCTATTTTGCAACTATCAACACCAACAACATACATACTACCAACAATCACAACACACTTACCGATGATTGCATCCCCCTCCAAATTGTCAACATCTTCACAGCCTCTAACAATAACATCAAACACTAATTTAACCTCATCTGAAAGAAAATCAACCACTCAACTCTCAGCAAAAATTACACTATTGCCAAAAATAACTACAAAGTTACCAACAACAATATCAACCACTGAATCACTACAAACAACATCCACCACACAACTGACATCAACCACACACATGTCAACAGAGACTACACAAATACAAAGAACACCAACTGCACAACTGCCAACAATTCCAACCATTCCATCAACTACACAACTGCCAACAACTCAATTTCCAACAATTCCAACCACATTGGCCACACAACTATCAACAATTGCTCAATTTTTAACAACAACAAACACACAAATTTTAAAAATAAAGAGCACTCAACAGTCAACTGTACCTGAATTTAAAATAGTATTAACCTCTACACCAAACACACAAGTGCCAGCAGAAACATCAACCACACACATACCAACAACCATGAAACTGTTAACAACCACTCAGTTTTTGACTAATCAAACCACAACACCAACTACACAACATTCAACAACTCTGACCACAAAACAGCCAACAACCACACAATTTCAAACAACTCCAACTATAAAATCAACCACTCAACTGCCAACAACCACTAGGTTTTCAACATCTCCAACCAGAGCACAACCCAGACAACTGATAACAACCACTCAATTGTCAACAACTACCCAATTTCCATTAAATCTAACCACAACATCAACCAGTCAACTTTCAACAACAATCACCACATCTATGATCACAGCCACCAAACTGACCACACACTTAACAACAATCAGACAACATTCAACACCTCTAAGCACACAACTCTCAACCACACAACAGACAACAACACCAACCATGCAACATTCAATACCTGTGACTACCCAACTACCAACAACACTAACCACACAACTGCCAACAACTACCCAACTTCCAACCACTCTGACCATACAACAGCCAACAACCACTCAATTTCAAACAACTTCAACCACAAAGTCAACCACATATCTGCCAACAATCACTCAGTTTTCTGCATCACCAACCAAAACACAAACCAATCAAGTGAAAACAACCACTCAATTTCTAACTATTGCACCAACAACTCAACTGTCAACAACCACTCAATTTCTAACCCCACCAATCACACAACATTCAAAATATCTAACCACAAAACAACCAACAACCACTCAGTTTTCATCATCTCAAATGATAACACAAACCAAACCAACAACAACCACTCAATTTCAAACTATCACACCGAATATACAACATTCAACAACTGAACTATCAATTCTAACCCCAACACCAACTACACATTCCACAAATTTTACCACAAAACTGCCCACCACCACACAATTTCAAACAAATCCAATCACAAAATCAACCACACAACTGCCAACAACCATTCAGTATTTATCATCATCAGCAGCACAAACAAGACAACTGGCAACCAGTCAATTTTTAACCACAACACCAACCACACAACTTTCAACAAGTCTGACCACAAAACTGCCAACAACCATACAATTTCCAACAACCCCACAAGTGTCAACAACCACTCAGTTTTCAACATCTCCATCCACTACACAAGCCAGTCAAGTGGAGACCACCCAATTTCTTACCACCACACCAACATCTCAACTCACAACAACAACTCAATTTCCAACTACAACACCAACCACACAACATTTAACAACACTGACCACACAACTGCCAACAACCACTCAATATCTATCTACCATGCCAACCACACAACATTCAACAACCAATCAATTTCTAACCACTACATCAATCACACAACATTCAACAACTTTGGCCACAAAACAGCCAACAATCACACAATTTCCAACAATACCAAACACAACATCAACCACACAACTGCCAGCAACCACTCAAATTTCAACAGCTCCAACCTCAACACAACCCAGACAAGTGGAAACAACCACTCAATTTCTATCTGCCATACCTACAACTCAACTGTCAACAACCACTCAATTTCTAACCACAACACCAACCACACAACATTCAACAACTCTGACTACAAAACAACCAACAACCACACAACTGTCAACAATCACCCAGTTTTCATCATCTCCAACACCAACCAACCAAGTGGCAACAACCACTCAATTTTTAACCACAACACCGACCACACAATATTCAACAATTCTGACCACAAAACAGCCAACACCCACACCAACCACTAAATCAACAACACAACTGCCAACAACCACTCAGTTTTCAACATCTCCAACCACAACACATACCAGACAAGTGACAACTACTAAATTTCTATCTACTACACCAACCACACAACATTCAACAACTGAACTGTCAACAACCACTCAATTTCTAACCTCAATGCCAACCACAAAATTTCCAACAACACAATGTCAAACAAATCCAAAGATAAAATCAACCACACAACTGCCAACCACTCTAGCCACACACTTACCAACAATCAAACCACACTCAACACCTCTAATCACACAATTCTCAACCACACAGCTGACAACTCCAGCCATGCAACATTCAACACCTGTGAATACCCCACTATCAGCAACTACGATCACACAACTAACAACTCTAACTACACAAATGCCAATGACACCAACTATGCAACCACCAAAATATACACAACTTCCAACCACTCTGACCACACAACTGCCAACAAACACACAATTTCTAACCATAATATCAATCACACAACTGCCAATAACCACTCAGTTTTCAACATTTCCAACTGCAACACAAATCAGGCAACTGACAATGACCACTCAACTGTCAACAACTTCAACCACATCTATGACTACAGCAACAGCCACCAAGCTGTCAACAAGTCTAACCACATACTTACCAACCATCAGTCAACTATCAACAACTCCCACCAAGCCACATTCAACACCTATGAGTACTGAACAGCTAACAAACATGATCACACAACTAACAACATCAACCACACAACAGCCAAAGACTACACAACTTCCAACCACTCTGACCACACAATTGTCAACCACCCCAACAACTCAATTTTTGAAAACCTCCAATATGCAACATTTAAAAACTCTAACCACACCACAGTCAACAAGTGCTAAATTTCCAACAACACTAGGTGCAACATCTACAACACAACTTACAACTGAAACACCAACTACACATCTGCCAACAACTTTGATTACACAGATTCCAACAACACCAACCATACAACTGACAATTTCCACTACCCAATTACCAACAACCACTCTATTTCCAACAACTCCAGCTATAATACTGACCACACAAATTCCAACAACCATTCTGACTACACCACACCCAACAAACCTAACCACAAAACTGTTAATAATTCCACAATTTTCAACAACATCAACCACTCAGTTTTTGTCAACTCAAAGTATACAACTGTTAACAACTAATCAACATTCAACACCTCCAACCACAAATCTGCCAATGGGTCTAACCAAACAACTATCCACAAATCTGCCAATGGGTCTAACCAAACAACTATCCACAAATCTGCCAATGGGTCTAACCAAACAACTATCCACAAATCTGCCAATGGGTCTAACCAAACAACTATCCACAAATCTGCCAATGGGTCTAACCAAACAACTATCCACAAATCTAAGCACACAAATCTCAACAGCCACTCAATTTCCAACATTTCTAACCACAACATCAACTACAAATCTGCCAACAACTCTGACCACACTATTTTCAGCAACAACCACTCAACTTTCAACAACTACAATCACAACACCAACTGCACAACTGTCAGCAACCATTCTAATACCAGCAGCACTATCTACAAAATCACAAATACCAACAACACAAGTACCAACAACACTAACCACACTAAAGCAAACAACCTTATTACTACAAACAACTTTAAGCACAAAACCATCAACAACGACACAATTTCAAACCACCCCTATCATAACACCAACTGCACAACGTTCATTGATGCTATCAACAGGACTACCATCAACCACTCATATGCCAACAACTTTGTCCACTCATATACCAACAACTTCAACCACACAATTTCAAACAACTTCAGCCACCACATCAACAACACAACTTCCAATAACTACAACCAGACAACTATCAGCAACTACACAGCTTTCCACAGTGCCAACTATACAAATTCTATCATCAACTACACAATTTCCAACTACTTCAATCACAACACCAACAACTACACAGTTTTCAACAACACTAACTACACAAATGCCATCAACCAATCAATTTCCAACAACTATTATCACCATACCAACTACAAAACTCTCAACAACTAATCAACTTTCAACAGTTCCCCACACACTGCTGCCAAAAACCACTCAATATCAAACAACTTCAACCACAATGCCAACAAAATTGTTAAAAACACTACAACAGCCACCAACTAGCCAATATACAACTCCAAGCATAAAACTAGCAACAAAGACAACTATGCAACAGTTAACAACCCCACAATTTTCAACAAGAAACACCCAACTTCGGACAACTCTGACCACACAAGTACCAATGACAACTCAATTTCTAACAACTACAATTATACCACCAACAACCACTCAATTTCAAAAACCTCTAAATACAACTTCCACCATAAATCTGTCAACCACACCAACAGTACAACTGCCAACAACCACTCAATTTCTAACAACTACAACAACTCCCACCACACAATTGCCAAAAACTGCAACTACATTACTGTCAACAACCACTCACTATTCAACAATGCCAACCACACAACATCTGACAACATTAACTACACAACTACCATCAACCACACAATTTTCAACTGCCACAAGACCAATCACGCATGTACTAACAACCACTCAATTTCTAACAACTACAATTACCACATCAACTACTCAGTTTACAACAGCTCCAACAACAACTCCAACCACACAATTGCCAACAACTCCAACTACATTGCTGTATACAACCACTCACTATTCAACAATACCAACCACGCAACATCTGACAACATTAACTACACAACTAACATCAACCACACAATTTTCAACCACCACAACACCAACCGCACAATTACCAACAACCACTCAATTTCTAACAACTACAATTACCCCACCAACTACTCAGTTTCCAACAGTTCCAACAACAACTGCCACCACACAATTGCCAACCACTCCAACTACATTGCTGTCAACAACCACTCACTATTCAACAATGCCAACCACGCAACATCTGACAACATTAACTACACAACTACTATCAACCACACAATTTTCAACTGCCACAACACCAACCACACAATTACCAACAACCACTCAATTTCTAACAACTACAATTACCACACCAACTACTCAATTTCCAACAGCTCCAACAACAACTCCAACCACACAATTGCCAACAACTCCAACTACATTGCTGCCAACAACCACTCACTATTCAACAATGCCAACCACGCAACATCTGACAACATTAACTACACAACTACTATCAACCACACAATTTTCAACTGCCACAACACCAACCACACAATTACCAACAACCACTCAATTTCTAACAACAACAATTACCACACCAACTACTCAATTTCCAACAGCTCCAACAACAACTCCAACCACACAATTGCCAACAACTCCAACTACATTGCTGCCAACAACCACTCACTATTCAACAATGCCAACCACGCAACATCTGACAACATTAACTACACAACTACCATCAACCACACAATTTTCAACTGCCACAACACCAACCACACAATTACCAACAACCACTCAATTTCTAACAACTACAATTACCACACCAACTACTCAATTTCCAACAGCTCCAACAACAACTCCAACCACACAATTGCCAACAACTCCAACTACATTGCTGCCAACAACCACTCACTATTCAACAATGCCAACCACGCAACATCTGACAACATTAACTACACAACTACTATCAACCACACAATTTTCAACTTCCACAACACCAACCACACAATTACCAACAACCACTCAATTTCTAACAACAACAATTACCACACCAACTACTCAATTTCCAACAGCTCCAACAACAACTCCAACCACACAATTGCCAACAACTCCAACTACATTGCTGCCAACAACCACTCACTATTCAACAATGCCAACCACGCAACATCTGACAACATTAACTACACAACTACTATCAACCACACAATTTTCAACTGCCACAACACCAACCACACAATTACCAACAACCACTCAATTTCTAACAACTACAATTACCACACCAACTACTCAATTTCCAACAGCTCCAACAACAACTCCAACCACACAATTGCCAACAACTCCAACTACATTGCTGCCAACAACCACTCACTATTCAACAATGCCAACCACGCAACATCTGACAACATTAACTACACAACTACTATCAACCACACAATTTTCAACTGCCACAACACCAACCACACAATTACCAACAACCACTCAATTTCTAACAACTACAATTACCACACCAACTACTCAATTTCCAACAGCTCCAACAACAACTCCAACCACACAATTGCCAACAACTCCAACAACATTGCTGCCAACAACCACTCACTATTCAACAATGCCAACCACGCAACATCTGACAACATTAACTACACAACTACTATCAACCGCACAATTTTCAACTGCCATAACACCAACCACACAATTGCCAACAACCACTCAATTTCTAACAACTACAATTACCACACCAACTACTCAATTTCCAACAGCTCCAACAACAACTCCAACCACACAATTGCCAACAACTCCAACTACATTGCTGCCAACAACCACTCACTATTCAACAATGCCAACCACGCAACATCTGACAACATTAACTACACAACTACCATCAACCAGACAATTTTCAACTGCCACATCACCAACCACACAATTACCAACAACCACTCAATTTCTAACAACTACAATCACCACACCAACTACTCAATTTCCAACAACTCCCACCACACAATTGCCAACAACTCCAACTACATTGCTGTCAACAACCACTCACTATTCAACAATGCCAACCACGCAACATCTGACAACATTAACTACACAACTACCATCAACCAGACAATTTTCAACTGCCACAACACCAACCACACAATTACCGACAACCACTCAATTTCTAACAACTACAATCACCACACCAACTACTCAATTTCCAACAACTCCCACCACACAATTGCCAACAACTCCAACTACATTGCTGTCAACAACCACTCACTATTCAACAATGCCAACCACGCAACATCTGACAACATTAACTACACAACTACCATCAACCAGACAATTTTCAACTGCCACAACACCAACCACACAATTACCAACAACCACTCAATTTCTAA